AACACTAGAGACGTACTATTGCCCTAATCAACATATGCCCGTATGAGAGAACAACTGCATATTGACACATCAGCTGTCATCCGAGAGTCAATGGTCAGTACGTACCACTTGAGGGGGGGATAGGCATACAGAGGGGATGCAAGAAGTACGAAGTCAAGATGTGAATAGATACAATGGCAGGTCGATATCGGACCATGCGACGACGTCATCGCGGTCGGATAAGTGATTTTGGGCAGGCAAGTCCCCCTTGCAATTGAAATCTGCAGAAGCGGTTGGGGATGTTGAGGGAATCTGGAGAGGATGTGCATGTTCCCAGCAGATTCCCATCAAGGGGGAATTTACTGGGGAATCCGTGGGTAATATGCGTGGAATACGCAGATTCCCTGCATGTTCCCTGCCACCGTAATCTGGCGCTTCACGCGGTGTTGTCCCCTGCCTGCTCGTCTCACCTCTCTCTCTCTGTGTGATCTGCGACTGAGGCCCCCAAACTCGACCCACACGTCTAGGGCAGCTCGGACAAACCTTGCCCCTCGATTCGGTGCCTTCCGGACCACTGGAGATCTGCCCATACAGGCAGCCCCGAAGTATTGTCGTGATCGGCCAGTACTGAGCCACTTCGTGGTGCTTCGTGGTGAACACGAAGTCTGGGGCGCGCAGTGTCTACTAGTACACGCTTCGGGTTCGGCTACTCTCCAGGAACACTTGTGCGTTACGGTCGGGTTGGAGACGGCGGATGCCGCGACGTTGCTTGGTTGTTCGACGGATGAAAGGACACCTCGGGGTATTTGTAGCTGAGGTTTCTCAGTGAATCTGCCAGGACGCCCCTGGGCTTTCCTGAGGCTTGTTGTACGAATTTACGTGGGACGTTTTACGACAGACTCATTACATAGGTCAACCACGCAGCTACGGATATGGTGTAAGTCAAACAATGGAGGGACGGTGCCATCATCGGGGACTGTAATACAGAGAGCATCGAAGGCTATATGCGCGGCCCAGCGGCATGGTATGAGAATATATGAGACCTTTTGTATGAACAAGGAGACGTGGATAGAAGTTGTATGGTAGACAGGCTACAAGCCAGCGTCCGCGCTGTTGCGGTACCTGTACAAGCATTGGGTGTGAGGACGTTGTTGAGGTTCGGACGAGGTACATACCGTATGCACTACGGATTCAATGCCCTACAGGGTGTTCACCTATTGCGCCTGAACCGGGCTACCGTCGTCAATAGGGAAGCAAAGCTGTCAACATACGCATAGCTCGAGTGTCAAGCAACGGCGGCGTACCTGCGGGTCCAGAGGGAAAGCCTGGATGCTCGCCTCCTCGGCTCCAACACCTAGTCCTAATGACTTGCATTTCTCAAAGCTGCGCTTCAAATTCTTCAATGCCTCCTGTACATCCTCATGATTCCAAGGCCAGGAGTCTCTCGAGGCCTCGCCATCGATATATGTAACTAGTTCCCCTACGGCCTCCAGAAAGTCACCAGGGGTGCCCCTCCGAGCATCCTCAGACTCGCCCAGGTATGTGAGAATGAGATCTAGAGTCTCCAGCATGGCCTGGGCGTCAAACCACCATGACAGCTTGCCAGCGATCTCTGAGATCGACCCCTTCTGGAGGAAGTCTATCCCGAATATGTATGCAATCAACGCCTTGGTCTCCCCTCGCGACCGCTGCCATGACGAGACCGGCGCAAAACAGCACCGCGCCAGTATCCTCAGACACCAGAAGACGACATACCAATCAGGCTCTTGAGCTGGTTCGCCATCCGATGGGTGTAGCAGCTCACGCAGCCACATCTCCACCGCTGCTGCAACTGTGATTGTGTGGGTCAGCCGAGGAGCTACTGAGTAGCACATCTACTCACGCACCATGGCAGACCGCCTTCCATGGCATGAGCTCAAGAGCGGCTGATTTGAACGTAGACATTGCATCCAAAAGCCATTGCGACCCTCTGCGCGCGTGGGACCCTGAGTGTGGATTTGCCAGTGTAGCAGCCAAAGCGAGGAGCAATCTTTCGAGATGTCCGGACTTCATGTTGTCACGGTACCATACGCGCATCATGTAGATATGTTCGGGCAGGCCTTCCAAAGTTTGCTCGCGTGACGCATGGATCAACGCGCCAGCCCAAAAGTCGGGAGAGCGCATCGGGACAAGCCTATCGCCGAAGTGTCGCCCGTTGATGTCCGCAATCTTGCCAAAACATTGGACGACAGCAGCGTCATCTTTGTCTGCGAGAATCCTTGCCGCCGTCTCAGAGAGATAGTTGACATCCATCGTAGTGGAGTACGCCTCGATGATCATGTCGACGTCGAGTTTCGAGGAGGATTGCTGGACAACGGTTTGCTCTCGGCCTCGCCATGTGGGTACTGTTACCGGACCCCAAGGATGGAGCTCAGCCCAATCACGAAGGCACCTGCACCACCAACGAACGAAGTCTGGTAGGCAGTCAAGGCCACTGAGATATCTGGACAGATTGTGCAGTGCCTCGACCACTTTCCGAAGCGAGGTAACGAGGTAATGAATACGATGCACGACGCGGAATATGGCATACGTCGGAGGGGAGAGGTAGCAGCAGTCACTCCAGATAACGGGCATCACAGTCGTGACCACCACAAACGACAGCAGGACGCCGATGAGCGTACTGGCGATGGTAGCGACTGTGGGATGCAGGTGCCAGAGAAGGATGAGTATACCAGCCAGGAAGAGTGCGAGGGAGACCTGGAGTAGGACCGGAAGGATTGCGATGATCTCCGCAACGCGCCATTTCTCCAAGTGATTGAGTCGGTATTGCCGCAGCCGCGCGATCTCCACCGAGGTCCCCGAGATCCCGGCCTCGTACTCGTGCAGCCATTGCTTGACCAAGATGCCGATCGAAGCGGACGCGAGACTGCAGATGAGCGCCGAGAACCACAGGCTGTTCAGCCACACAGCCCACGCCTCAACCGGGGCCGTCGGGATGGGGGCAAAGGGGGTGACAGGATGGGTAGAATTGACGAGTGCGCCAGGAGGGTTGACGGAGAAGCTGTTGAGCTGGAGGGAGATCTGCTGCAATACGGCAAGAGTGGGATCCGGGGAGCTGGGTTGGAGGAGGATGTACGATTGGACATTGAACGCGGTGAGGATGGCCGAGAATAGACCCGCCTGGTGGGGCAATCAGCAATCGGTAACTCGCGAGATTAGGTGCGGCATGTCGCGTACATAGACGAGGATAGTGTCGATCTCTTCTTTCCATCTCTTGACCGTCTCATCACTATAGTCCTTGACGACTTTGATCGTTCTCTCCAGCGCGCTATCCTTATCGGCTTGAGTATAGGTCTCGCTGAACTCCTTCTGTAAAACCTGTACCGGTATAAGTCTCACTGTGCCTTTCTGCTGGGCAGGTGAACTTTTGACCCACCTCGATGGAAGGTACTTTCCATGGGAAGGATGGAGCACTCACACGGCCGCAGTCTGGGGCATTCTATAGCGGGTGTCAACGTGGAAGTGCGGCCAATGATACCATGACTATACATACTACCCCTTCTGTTCCGCCGTGCTGTGGAGCAGCGGAAGGATGATCAGGCGCTGTTTGAGAGATACTGGGCTCTTGAACCTGTTCCCGCGTAGGCTGCGAGTCCGCGTTAATGTCCTGCAGCTCAATGCTGGCTGAGGGCGATGCCATTTGATAGTGCCTACAGCGTTCAAGATTGGTCACCTGCCTATATGGTCGGGACGGCCATAGTATGCTCACCTGATGTCGTCGCTGATGCAAAAGTGAGAGAGAACAGCAGGTGGGGTGCAACGGGAAGAGAGTGCAAGGCTGGGGCAGGTATAGTAGCCGGTGATCATCTACCTCGCGGCAGACGCGTGTAGCAGGTTGACAGTGCAGGAGCTCCGCCCGAACCCAAAGCCCTCTGGAGACAGGCACTGGCTGAGCTGGAATGAAGAAGAGTATGGAAGCGACTCGTCTAATAGCTGCACCGCAACGCTCGACACCTTTAGGCACGTAGCGTCATTCAGGTGTAGCACAGCCTGCCAGGGACCTAGCCTAGTCCAATGCCTCGCGCCCACTCGGGGTCCCCCCCCCCTGCGTGCCAATCGGCGAACCTGCAACGGCTCAAGGCAGTGCACCAGCCTCTCCAGGGTAGCAGCTTTCCGATGAGCGCATATATCGGTCTTGCCCTGTCTCCATCGGCGTGGAGGTCGTTTGCGCAGCTATTCCTCTCCAAATGGTCGTCAAAAACTCGCATCAACATGTCTACATCTTCCTTGTTCCCTCCTAGATAAGTGGCGGGCCATAATCGCGATCGGTTTCTGCATATGTTCTTCCAGGACGAGCATGACGGAGCGGGACAATTGGTCTGGGCCGGTGTATAGACGTTTGGAAGTATACCAGAGTGCAAACACACCTCCACTCACGTTATTCATGTCAGCCGAGCAATCACGATATTCATGTCATCGAAGATCTTCAAACCAACCTGTGCAACTTAAGTACCTTCTTGTGACATCGATAATCAACGGCACGAACCTTTCGTTCAAGCAGAATATCATCAACCTCGATCCTTGCCGGCGCCACAACAGTCAACGTGCTGGTGACAATCGCCTCCACCGCGCTCGCCTCGTCCTTCGTTCCCCCTCCAGACATCCCCAAGTCCGCAGGCCCAGATTGTGTCCGTGTCGGTCGCCTGTAAGTCGCCTGATGAGCTACATTGATCGGGTGAACAGCTTCCACAGCGATCGTGTGCAACGTGTTCCGTTCGGTCGACTAGTGGGGGTGGCTAAGCAGGATGGGCGTGGTCGGGTAATTACGCGTGGAGGTGAAGGTATCGGGAGCGTGCAACTTGGACTAGACGGAGGTGGTGATGATGGGTTCGCTATGCCGCCGCTGCTCCGGGAAGGTAGTTGACTGGTGTTGTCTGCGGATCGTTGTCAATAGTCGGAGATGGGACGGGATGACAGAAGACGTACCTGCTTCGTCTATCTCCGTAGGCTGTAGCATGACGTCGGCAGTAACGTCGATCTCCACTTCTCTCCCTTCGCCTATGTGCCACGCGGACCCGTTAGGCGATATCGAGACCTGTATATGATGACTGCGGTATGGTCTACTCGCCGCATTGGCACACATGCCGGAGGGTCGATAGTGCATGACCACTTACAGAGTCATCAAGACTGGACACCTTGGGGAGGACAGGCGTTGCGATCCACCAGCTGCGTTCCTTGATGGTGAGCACAAGTGTCAAGACCTACGCGATGGTGAGTCAATTGTATGCGTCCAAATGATCTGGCACCTGGAGCGCATACCGAAAGGTGCATAAGTAGGGCAGTCGGAGGCGATGATCCCAACAAAGACGATGGTCGAAACAGGACCCCCATCGCAACACGCTCACGACCTCTCGCAGCTACGCCGGGGCCGGAGATATCTCTCATCTAGGTCAACCCTCTGCACAAAGAGACCTTGATATTGGGATGGACCTGTACATGCTCGACATCAATCGAGGAGATGTTACTGTCGAGGGAAATTGCGAGGGAGTTGGGCTGGAGGAGAGGGTGACATGGGGATGGAAGAAAGGAAGATCGGGCAAATTGAACTTTGACCGCGGCCACGGGTTCCCAGAAAACGACGAAGATCTTCACTGGCTGCACGTATGTCCTCACATCAGGATCCCATCACTGACTTGGGGGACGGTGGGAAACGTTCGGACTGGGAGACGAGAAAGCTGAAGTGGGGTGTGGAGCCACATGTACAGCGACGATACCGAGCCCAAGACAGGAAAACCGGGCGGGCGTCTCAGACGAGTCCACCACGCGTCATGCCACAGTCAGGTGATGCCGAAGGGGATCCCCGACCGCGACACCGACTGCGAAGCGTTCCTTCGAATTGTGTTCTCTGAGACTCTGTCGCTCCCTCGCTGAACCCTCCTCTGCTTTCTTGCAAGCAGCAGTAAAATCGACGTTATACTCTTCTATGGCTTTCCCACTTATCGCGTCGTCGAGCCCCTGCGGACGTCTTCACACTGGCCAGTGGCAAGGTCGTGCCTTCCACATGATGTACGTACGTCTCTTCGTCCAAACAACACTCCTCAGCATACATCCATTCTGTCGCTACAGCTGTATCTTGTTGCGAGTTGCATTCCGCGTTCTAACCGATGATACACTCAGCATGGCGCGTTTGCCACCGATACTGGTACTGAGGGGTTAGCCTGTAGGAAACTTAGGAGAACGTCATTGCCTGGTACTAGACGGGTCAGGCAGAAGTCATTACAATGAACACGCGAGCGAGGACAAATATCATTCGGTTCGATGAGCATTCCTGTCGTGTTCGTGACCTGAGTACGGCTGACTTGCTGCATTGATGCATGCGCCCTGAGGAACCTGTCGCTTCCATCCGCGATGAGTGGCGTATCCTGTGGCGTCTCCTTCGACTAATTCCTGTTCCGTTGCGCTGGCGGGTTGCGATTCTCCGTGCAGTTGCGGCCGAAGCGTTGGACAAGGCGTGTGGCGTGCCTTGGCGGCTTACTGGGCCTCGTTTCCCACCTTGAGGAAGGGAGGTGAGCGGTGTGCGAAGGGGGAGACCGAGATTTTGGGCAAGTCTAAGATACATGTGACCGAGCTAAGAAGAATCATTTGGAGCGCGAGTTGTGAAAGGTGGCGCACAATTGCTCGCACGACCGCACAGACATGGATCAACACCCTGCCCCCTTATAACGGTCAATAGAGTTGTGGAGATGATATCGCCTACTTCGCAGATGCCAAAGTGGCTTCCCTTGGTATAGGTAACTCCGTAGTCCAGATCGCAGAGTTTATGGCGAAAGACGTGCGGTGCGCAGAGGATGAGCGACTCGAAAGGTCCGGACAAAGCCGACAACGGTTCCGCGAATATTAATGGCGGACAACACGATAGGTCGGATGGGTTGACGAGGGCAGCTGTCTCGGGCCTTTTCTTCGGCTCATCCCTCGTCGTTCAGACTCTGACGTGTCTCCCTGTGTCATCTGTGAAGGACGCAGCTCTGACGTTACCATGAGTCCCTACTCCCTCAACTCAGTGCCATCCCCCCTCCCTGTTATCACCTTGTACTGACGCCCTCGGGGCGCGGCGAAGCTCTTGCTACACTACTAGCAATAGTGGTGCGAGTGAGGTTGCGATCTTAGCTGGCTCGGTGAGTAGTCCGGGCGCATCTTTCCCCTGGTCACAGCTTGCAGAGTTTATATGCGTCCTGAGGAAGCCTTCGCCAGCATCCAGGACGAATGTCATGTTCTCCTTGCTCGTGCCGGACGTTGAGGACTAGAAACAGGGCGTGATTCTTTGCTTGCTGCCCAAATTCTCATGTACAATCTGATCTGTACGTGGCGGAGCGAATGCTGACGGCGATGCCCCTCGCAGAGTCTTCAGGCAAGTGCGGTATGCAAGGTCGGCCTCTCGTTGCGTTCGAATAGGATGGGTGCGCTTTGTTTTCGGGTAGGATACATTTGACAGGCATATCGGATCTCTCCCGCGTTGGCACGTCGCGGAGAGCTCGCCCCAGAGAATGTGTATGGTGGGTTGCGAATACAACTTGGAAGCCTACTTTGGACGGGCGCAGCGCATCCTGTACCGCGCGCGCGATGCAGGCACAATGGTACTGGCACATCCCTATCCTTTCCTCTTTCATTCCGTCTTCGACTCACCTACCGCTTTCCACGTCTCAAGGTGCCGCATGACACGCGATTGCGTCCATATATCTATACGCTTGGGTCGTGGCCTCCAGGAACATTCGTGCGTTACGGTCGGGGAGACGGCGGATGCCGCGACTGTGCTTAACTAGACGACGGATAAACGACCGGATCGGGGCACATGTAGCTCGGGTTTCTTGGCGAATCCGCCAGAACGCGCCAACGGTAGATGCATTACATAGGTCATTCACCCAACTGCAGACATCGTGCATATCATACAATATAGGGACAGTATCGGAATCAGGCCACTGTAATAGATAGTAGAGAGCATCGAATGCTGTATGCGTTTCCCCGCGACATGGTACGAGAGTGTATGAGACCTTTCGTATGAGTGAGAAGGTGTTGACGGATACTGTACGACAGACAAAGCAATGTCTGCGCCGCTACGGTACGTATAGAAGCGTTTGAATACGAGGGCGAGATTGAGGCTGAGAAGAGACGACACGCGGTGTCCACTATGGACTCACTGTCCTTCAGGGCGTTCACATATTGCACTTAATCCGGGCTATCGTCATCAATAGAGAAGGGAATGCGTCAACATAGGGACATCTCGCATCTGAAGCAACGGCGACGTACCATCCGGTTCGGCTGGGAAGCCTGAATTCTCCCCTCCTCGGCTCCGATACCTAGTCGTAGAGTTTTGCATCTCTCCAAGCTGCGCTTCAGCTCCTTCAATGCCTTCTGGACGTCTTCGTCATCCCAAAAATCGGCACTTCTTGAAGGGCCCTCGATATATTCGACAAGTTCCCCTATGGCCTCTAGAGAGTCACCAGGGGCGGTCCTCCGAGCATCTTCAGACTCGCCCAGATATGTGAGAATGATGTCTAGACTTTCCAGCATGGCCTTGGCGGGGTACGACCACGACAGCTTTCCAGCCATCTTTGAGATCGACCCCTTCTGGAGGAAGTCCATTCCAAATACCCACGCCGTTGACGCCTCAGTCTCCTCTTGCGTCCGCTTACATAGCGAGGCCGGCGCAAACCAGCACTTCACCAGTATCCTCAGCCACAGAAAGACGGTACTATCCCACTCAGGCTCTTCACCTGGCCCTCCATCCGAGGGGCCGGGGTGCAGCAGCTGACGCAACCGCATTTCCGCCGCTGCCGCAACTGTCGTTGTGCGAGTCAACTGAGGAGTCATTGAGTGAAAATGATAGGCTCACGCACGATGGTGGACCACCCCCCACGGCATGGCCTCCAGGGCGGCGGGTGTGAACCGGAGGATGTGCTCCACAAGCCATAGCGACTGTCTGCACACGTCGGGACCGGAGTCTGCATTGGCTACTGTAGCAGCCGAAGCAAGAACGAGCCTACTATGATGCTCCGACTGTCTCTTTCCGAGGTACCAAGAGCGATAGATGATGAGATGGTCGAACAAGGATTTGCACGTCTCCTTTCGCGACACATGGATCAGCGCGCCAGCCCAAAAGTTGGGAGAGCGCATCCGGACGTGCCAATGGCCGAAGTGTCGCACGTTGATGTCCGCGATCATGGCGAAACATCGGACGACAGCATCGGTATCTTTGTCTGCGAGAACGGCCGCCGCCGTGTCGGAGAGATAGTTGACATTCATGGTGGTGGAGTAGGCCTGGGCGATCATGTCGACGTCGAGTTCGGAGGCGGATGATTGGACGGCCGTCCGCTCTCGACCACGCCATGTAGGTACTGTCACCGTATTCCAGTCCTGACGCATAGCCCAAAGACGGAGGTCGCTGAACCACGAACGAATGAAGACTGGTAGCCACTCGAGGTCAATGAGTGCGTCGCAACAATTGTACAGTGCCTTGAACAATTTCCTAAGCGATGTGACGAGGAAATGGATACGATGCACAGCACGGAATATAGCGTACGTTGGAGGCGAGAGGTAGCAGCAGTCCCGCCAGAACACGGGCATGACAGTCGTGACCACCACAAACGACAACAGCAGGCTGATGAGCGTACTGGCGACGGAAGCGACCGTGGGGTGTAGGTGCCAGAGAAGGACGAGTATACCAG